TATTTTCATAATATCGATTTTATAAATATTGAATTTTGAAATATCGCGCAGTTGTCAAAGGAATAATTTAATCCCAAGTCAATCACGTATTAGGCAAGACAAATAGTTATTGTGGAAATGCATGCCTAATATCGTTCGCGTCGTAATCGCGCGCGCGGTTGACGCAACATTATTGCGGCACGTATTTTCTTCTTTTTTTCTTTTTTTAGCATTTTGATTGCGCGATACCACGCGGGATAACGCGCCTGATAATATTGTCGGCATACTAAAATCGCCGATAGATAATGACGCCTCTTATTAATCAGTTATTAAACGCAATGCGCCGCGAATACGACAGATCGACCTTTCTGTTCGCCCCGCAATCGATCGACGATGCATCGCGTTACGTGTAACCTTTCGACTGGTACACTCGCGCTTTGTATATAATCCTTTTCGAAACGTATAATATATTCAACATCGCAAGTTAGACATGAGCCGAATACACAGTGAATCCGGGGCTTTTGTTTGAAACATTTACCTTGCGAGTTATCGTTTCTGTTTACGTAGTAAGAGTATGAATTTACGCTTCTAATTTCATTCAACTGTAATTCTATCGAACGATATTTAAGGATATCTATATTTATGAACGATTAATCGTATCGTACACTTTGCCAAGTGAATGAAAATATTTCAGTTTATTGTTAGTCTTTCGCTATTTCAATATTGAATTCTTTTTTTTTATTACGCTACAGCCATCGTATAATTTAATAGTGAAAATGGCACGTATTTTCTTCTTTTTTTCTTTTTTTCTTTTTTTAGCATTTTGATTGCGCGATACCACGCGGGATAACGCGCCTGATAATATTGTCGGCATACTAAAATCGCCGATAGATAATGACGCCTCTTATTAATCAGTTATTAAACGCAATGCGCCGCGAATACGACAGATCGACCTTTCTGTTCGCCCCGCAATCGATCGACGATGCATCGCGTTACGTGTAACCTTTCGACTGGTACACTCGCGCTTTGTATATAATCCTTTTCGAAACGTATAATATATTCAACATCGCAAGTTAGACATGAGCCGAATACACAGTGAATCCGGGGCTTTTGTTTGAAACATTTACCTTGCGAGTTATCGTTTCTGTTTACGTAGTAAGAGTATGAATTTACGCTTCTAATTTCATTCAACTGTAATTCTATCGAACGATATTTAAGGATATTTATATTTATGAACGATTAATCGTATCGTACACTTTGCCAAGTGAATGAAAATATTTCAGTTTATTGTTAGTCTTTCGCTATTTCAATATTGAATTCTTTTTTTTTATTACGCTACAGCCATCGTATAATTTAATAGTGAAAATAATTTCGTGATGTGAAATTAAACTTAATTACACAAGATTAATTCTCAGTGCATAAATAGCAGCTGAGCGCAATTCTCGATAAAATAATTGATAAAATGGAAAGGATTGATAAAATGAAAGGATTGATAAAAATGGCGCGCTTAAGAAAACATCAATGAATAATTGGCTAGGTATCAAAACACATTACGCTTGACGTTTTTCCAAGAATCACGATCGATCCACGATAGGTTTGCGAAACGACGTAGTTATAACCACGTGCTCTCGTATCTGTCGGTGTCGCTGCTTCATTGTTCCGGAAAAGTATGTAAAAGAGTAGCGCGATAAAAAAAGCACTCGATTGCGACAATCGCACGCATACGCGCGTGAAGGAGCGCACGCGTAGAGAGAAGCGTACGGTGCAGCGGCCGCAGTGTATTTTACGCATTTCTGGTACGTATATACGCGATGCTGTGCAGCTCCGGCGGCCTTGAGAGAGGTTCTTTGTGCGTTCACTGCGCGCGTGCACGCTCGCGTACATACACCTACACAGTCGAAACTGGCTCGCGCCGTTACATGCATACACTGTAACAAGTTGCGTTGCGCTTATGTACAAAGGGCGCTCCATGTGACTCACGTGTGCTCGCATATGCTACCGTCTCCGTTTCTCTCTCTCTCTCTCTCTCTCTCTCGCTCCTTCTTTCCGTGTTGATCTTTCTTTTCTTCTCTCCCTCCGTCCTATTCCATTTATCTGCGTTTCTCTCTCTCTTGTTCTCATTCGTATATATACGTACATGTGTGGTATATATGTATGTAGGTATATATGCCGCTTTTCTTTCTATTTTCTGTTTCTTTCTCTCTCTCTCTTTTTCTTTGTCAGTCAACGTCTCTATCCTTGGAGTGTGCACATAGCTCGAACCAGATATACACGCTAAAGTGCACACATGAAACCATGAAGAGTGCATGCGGGTGTTGGCCACGTGCGCGCTGCACTTTTTGCTCACGGGGCAACCTTCGCCTTTTATGCGTCGCGCGCGCCAGCGCTGGGACTTTATGTCCTTTTCAGCGATTTGCTACGACGAGCTTTTCGGTACACGCCGTTGAACAAAGGTGATACGAAAAGCGCGCGCGAAATCACCGTGCGTTTTTCGTAAAGTGAAAATGCTTCGTCAAGCTTTTCTTTGATAACGATGCTATTGGCCAGAAATGTGTAGTGGATCGATTCGCTCTCAAGGTTTCTTGTGTGTGATATATATTTTCAAATTCTAAGAGGACATAGTATCTCGTTTTGAAATAAAAATAGAAATATTTGTATGAATGTAATTTTATTTAATTATATTATTCCTATCAACTATCTTACTATCTAGACAGTATGCCATCCAATTGTTTTAGAATAATCTACTTTGTTGCATTATCGTTATAATACATTTGATGAATTATAATTGAAAATTTTATGTATTCCTAGAAAAATAACTTATCTTTGATAAAAATGTGGCACACCTCGTTTAGCGATATATCGTTTTAATTCTTTTACGCTTTTTTACAAAATGCATCTGTACGCCCTATTCCTCATAGATTTATAACTTTTGATGTTTGCGTATTAACCAATTAAATCAATTAGAAATCAATTTCCAAAGAGATATAAAGTCTCGCAGCTGAATTACAAATAACTATTGCTAATCTCTCCATCAGAAGCTATACATCAAGTCGTAATAATAAACATCGAGTTGGATTATTATAAATCTCTGTGCAAAGGTTCCAGCGTATGCATTCTCACGCGGGCTACGTCGAGTGACATTTGGCTGGAAAAACAAGTAGAAAGCAACGGGGCGTCGATGCCACGTATGTTTTGCAAGCGACGAAAAGTGCGGCCGGCCGCATCTCCTCTTTCTCTCTCTCTCTCTCTCTTTCTCGCGCGGATGCTGCAGCACTCTCAACGAGCTATCGAAGATTCCGCGACTCCGGCGAGCGGCGGAGGCTTTAATCGAGTGTAGCTGACGACGATGTGTGTGCCGTTGCACAAGTGAAAGAGCCCCGGGGCCTCTACTCGAAATGTCAAGGATGCAACCATGTGCGCGGTTACATGCGAGAAAAGACGAGAGGGAGAGAGGGAGAGAAAAGAGAGGGATGCGCAGAGTCCGTGAGACAATGGGCGGCCGGGAGGCACCGTAGAATTGTTATTTTGTCACGCATGGAACTCTCCGACCACGTATTCGTGCATCCATCCATCGCGCGTAATGAAAAGTGGCCGTGTCTAAATGTTTCTAGAGCCTTACAGTACGGTAAGCAACGCGTAGTAGATGCTGCTTTCACTACGGATTCGTATGATGGGCTTTCAAGGTTGCAACCACGAGAGCAGAAGAGCGCGATAATATCGCGCGATTCTGTTTCGTAACGCGCGACAAGTGTCTTCTCCGATGCTCCGTTATCTGCAAGGAAGGAATGACGTCATTAATTCGCGTGCGTTGATATATCTGACATGCAATCGTATCTGATATTGATTACACGAGGTGAAGAAATATTTATTTATAACCAGCTATCTCTGTGATATTAAAGAATATTAGAATCCTCTTGTTCTCGAACTCGAGAAAACGACGTAGTCGTCTAATAAATAAAACTACGTTAGTCGATGACGTGATAGTAAAGAGAAGAATATTATCTCGACGCGCGGGCAAATAAGCGACGACATAAGTATGCAGAGGAAAGCGTGTCACTCTTGGTAGCAGAAGCGGCCGCAAGTCGAGACTTTATCGATGAGGACTGTTCTACGAAATCGTAGCTATGACGTGATAAAAAAGACGCGCGTACATATCCAGACACGAGACAGGCAGTCTGCCACGAGACATGATAACGCACGTTTTCCAAGCATAGATAGTGATATATGTTTGTCGAGCTCGCGGAGTTGATTCCGTCTGACGCCTCTCACTACGATATTGTTGACGTTTGTTGCATCATGAAGAGATGCTCTCGCGAATTTAAAAGTATCTTTCGTGCCAAGGAAATTGAGCCTCGACATGTACATGATTGTACTGTAAACATATTTATATCTTTAGCTTGTATAAAAATAATCGCTTGTATCAGATTAGAGAGCACGATTAGATATATATCATATTCCTTACAATATATTTTTATCTAGATATAAAATCATATATATGTGACTCAGGAGATTCTCTCTCGTGGCATACAACAAATGTCGAAATTGCGAGGAGAAGGTTGTTGCGAATCACCCGTTAGAAATTTTAAAGCTATCATTACCCAACAATGTCGTTCTCGCCATACACGGACTGCATGTTTACCTTGCAGCGAGCACTTTGTGGTATTAAAACCTTATAAGCGAAGTAACTGTCTCAGCATCCTCCCGTCACCGGAATGGAAAGTCACTACTATTGTGTGACGTAATTTGCGTGTAATCAATTGTCGTTATATGAGCGTGGCGACACAAGTACCCGGTGTTATTACATTCGTTGTCGCGCACGGGGAGTTGTAAAACGCGATCTCATTATTAATTTACATGTCACGTGACTGCTCGTTAAACGCATTCGCGGCGAGAGAATCCTGTGTCGATTTCTCAATTACGTCGAGATGACAAATTCTTTCGCGATCATCTTTTTGTCTATATCTTTTGTCTATTATAAATTAGAACGAGTCTTAAAGGAAGATGTTTGTGCTTTTTTTTAGATCGGGCACCCCGTCGACCCGGCGGTCCCGAGGCCCAGCAGCCTCTGGTGATCTTGCTGCAGCCCGGCAGCGCCGAAGATCTGTCGAACTTGCCGTTGCCGGATCTGGTGCAGTCGGCCGTAGATCAGCTGCCACCACTGTCGCCCCAGGTGACAGTTTCCGTTCCCAACAGCCCGATGAGAGACGCGACCTTCCAGTTTCCCGAGTGCGTCAACGGCGGCGGTGCACCGCTGCCGAGCCCAAGGCCGCGGCCGCGAAGACGCTTCTCATTATTAATTTACATGTCACGTGACTGCTCGTTAAACGCATTCGCGGCGAGAGAATCCTGAGTCGATTTCCCAATTACGTCGAGATGACGAATTCTTTCGCGATCATCTTTTTGTCTATATCTTGTGTCTATTATAAATTAGAACGAGTCTTAAAGGAAGATGTTTGTGCTTTTTTTTAGATCGGGCACCCCGTCGACCCGGCGGTCCCGAGGCCCAGCAGCCTCTGGTGATCTTGCTGCAGCCCGGCAGCGCCGAAGATCTGTCGAACTTGCCGTTGCCGGATCTGGTGCAGTCGGCCGTAGATCAGCTGCCACCACTGTCGCCCCAGGTGACAGTTTCCGTTCCCAACAGCCCGATGAGAGACGCGACCTTCCAGTTTCCCGAGTGCGTCAACGGCGGCGGTGCACCGCTGCCGAGCCCAAGGCCGCGGCCGCGAAGACGCTTCGCCTCGGAGAGCTCCATCATGGAGACAGGCTCGAGCGAGGTGAGCAACTGCAACAACGGTAGCAGCTGCTGCTGTCTGATCCTCAACGAGAGGCAATCGTGGACGAGCGTGGGTGCCAATCTCAGGAACATCGCCGGCGACTTCCACGCATGCAGGACCAAGGTCAGTGTTACACACGCGAGATCGTTATTTCCCATCGAGATCCGCGATCACGATTAAATCGCGGGAAAAGAATGCAGATTGCGGATCTCGGTACGGTACGGAATAACGTTTCAGATACATTGAGATAGTTTGCATTCTTTCTCCGCGATTTTATCGAATTAATACTTTGTATATTCATATGGAAAAAAATTGGAACATTTATTAAATTTTTTACATAAAATTTTGCGCGTTTTTATGATATTAGGTTTACTTTACATCAGTTCGTCGGTAATTCTTCGAACATGCTGACAATGTCATCGCCGTTTTCTATTCTATTCGCCGCTGATAGCATAATACAGAAGCAGTTTACGGTGAGAGGAGTACAGGTGTAAAATGCCTCGTATAAAAATTGTACGGCACCTACGGTTTTTCGCGCACGCACGGGAGCCATAGTGTAACTTTTCACTCCACGCGTCGCAATTTCATCTTCCCCATGAAGGCTTTTATTCGTCATAAAGCCACCCTCGCGTCGCGGGTATTATAAAACGTAACGAATACGCACAACGAGAGGTCCTCCGGCGGGTGTTTAGTTCAAAATTTTGCTCGCCCTCGAATCTACTATTAAATTCCTATCGTTTAATTTACAAATTTTATCGCCGGTTTTATAAACGTATATATGTCTCTTCTATTTCCACACGATATCTTTTATTCACACATGAATTTTTCTGTGAAGCGTGACGGGCCTCAAAATATCTTTAGCTCAATATAATTAAAATTGACATTTCCCTTATATAAAATTCATCCAAGTTTCTTATTATTTCAATACATTTACGGACAGTTCTCCTATATCCGTCTCGTCTGATTGGTCCATATTTATCCCAACGACATCGCGAACGTGTCGCGCGAAGAATCGATTTTGGCCGAAAACGAACCGGAGAGAATCCAGATCCTCCTGATATTCCAGGATTTAATAGCGTTGCGAATGATTCAGAGCTTCTCGTTTCGCCTCGAAACTTTTAGGCATTTCATCACGATGGATTCGTAGCTAGAAGGTGTGTTTCTTCCTTTAAGAAAGATAGAAACCATCGTATCGTGGGTGGGGCGCATAAACGCGAATTTAGTTATATCAAAGTATATACCGACGATGTATATATATATAGATATATATATATATATATATATGTATGTACGTGTGTGCGTGTCCCGTGGGTGCAATAAATATCGGCTTCACCACCGTCGAGACGTCTAGTATTGCCCCCCGTGTGTACGTGCCCCGTGCCACCGGCACTTCATCAAAACTCCACCCGCCCCTCTCTCCCTTCCTTCCGACGACCGCGGCTCGGTCGTTCGATCAAATATGTATCGCCGACCGGTATGGTTCTTCTCCCGGATTTGACGACGGTTCTCCTCTCTTGTTTGCGGTCGGAAGAAAGGAAGCAGCGATTGTGTGCGTATTGGCGAACGAGCGGATAAGAGAGATGAACCGGGAGATATTTGGTATGTGTAGTGAAGGCATGTAATGTCATCATCTGCGAGATTAACGCAGCGTGGTTGAAACGGTGTCTACGATATTATCTTGACGGATCGATATCCTCGCGCATTCTTAGCTTGAGAGACAGAGAGAAAGAGAGAGAGAGAGAGAGAGAGATGTATGGAGGATTATTTCCAGACTCTTTCCTAGGAGAAGAAACGGCAAATATCTTTCGTGCTGCGGAAAATCAATTGTATAAACACTTCTTTGCTAAAGATGCCAAGAAACATACTAGAGATTGCAATCCTTGTTTCTTGAAAATTTGAATTTCAAACGCTCTTTAACACATTCTACTTTATTATGAATGCAATCTCTTGTTAGTGTCTATTATTAATCGAGACAAGCATATTACGCGATGCTAATATTATATCGACGATTCATCCGGCTCATTGATTTTGCAGAATGCGCGAAATAAATTATCGAGCGCAATTATTGCGGGGAGTTTCTGATTACTACTTTGATATAATTACGAGATATCCATCCCCTCGCCATTAGAAGACTGAGAGTCGTTCAATCAAATATGTATCGATGAACGAGACAATTCTCCCCGGCTTTACGACGACTCTTGTTTGCCGTTGCGGATTGAAAGAAAGTGAATGGCGGGAGGATGAGACATTAATAGGGAAAGAGTCGGACGTAAACACGAGGTGGAAAGGGTGTTCCTCTTTTATTCCGCCTCGCTTTTATCCGCTTTAAAGGTCTGTTGGCGTGATACCCAATCCCGGAACGTCTAATTATTGCTGGTTAAGTGCCGGTAATTGAAGGGGGCGAACAGACCCGTGAAATTGAAGAAATCTTTCTCCTCTTCGCCCGCCTGTAGACGAGATCGGATACCGATCGGTTTCTCGGCACGGTAACTCGAGGAGCGTTGTTGATAATACGAATCGCCGAGAATCCTCAGCAAGGTCGTCTTCGTCCTACGTCTCTCTTGTTTGCGCGCGTCCGAAGAAATTGAAATGTCAGATTAATTACCACTGGCAACATGGGTTCGTAAGTCGGCGAACTGCGCCTTGTTTACGTCTATATCGCTTTATAAAAATTGAAATTTAAACCATTTCACCATTCGTTAAAATCTGCATCTGCTTTGACAAATATTCAGCGTCGAAATAAATCGCATCAAATGCAACAAATTTATCGCATCTGCCAAATTTGACCTGTAATATTTTCATCTTGGCAGTTCCTCGCATGACAGAAACGCACGTGAGACATACGTCATCGCCACACTATTTGTGCAAATTTGTATAAATTCATAAATAAATGTCAGAGGTATCATCATGTGAGCACGTAGTGGTCAAAACTCACCACCGCGGATCGCGGCTTTCCCGACGCGACTAAAAGCTTTTCACGGCCTAGACTTCCGGGAATACGTCATAAGTCACAGAGAGATCCTCTCGTATCTGTTCTCCCTCCGCCTCTTCTCCTTGCGTCTACCCATCACGGGAAACCACCGACGGCGCTTTACATATGCATGGAGAGTAAGCGAGCATGTAAACGGCTAAGTGGCCACATCCCCTTACGTGAAAGTTAAGTGGGCATGGCAGCACGAGCCGTGGCCACAGGCCGAGAAAATTATCTTCAATTATCTCGCGCAATCGGAGTCCTCCTCCTCCTCCTCCTCCCCTCGCCGCTTGTTTGCTCCTACTCCGATCTCGCTCTTTCGATTAGCCTTTCGACTGATCGTCGCTTCTACACTTGCTCGGTAAATGAGATAGTCGTACGCATTTTCATTGACCTCTGCGTAGAGAGGGTTATACCTGGTAACTCGCTGGTTTTTATATAATATACAGGATTATATGAGTGAGCGGGCGCGCGCATGCCATAAAACACGAGATATAGCGCTCCAACGTGTCAGAAACAGGGAAATAGCCGACTCTCCTCCTCGCCGTATTTTGTTCGGGAAATTGAAGTCAGGCAATTTCCCCCGCGACGGAATACCGATCATATACCGCTTCGAGAGACTCATTACTCGCGAATCCTCGCGTATATCGAAAAAGTCTGTCTAAAAAAATTGCCAAACACGACTCGATCCAATTTATCCTCGCGCGGAGAGAACTTCGCGAAATAACGTGTCGGCGTCTGACAGCGAAACGCGCTGACATTTATCTAGTAGTTTAAACGATCTGACCGACGCGCAAATTGATACATTAGTATACCCTCCTCGCGGTGAGATAACGGATCTTTCGCGATGGCGCAACACGGGGGGGATGGAGGACAGAGAGAGATTCGATGCAAGAAAGTCGTCGATATTTCTTCGGCCGTGTAGCCTACGTGTTCACCGCACGCAAACCGCTTAACTCTCGTTTACGTCTTATTTTCACCTTCGCCGGTATACCCTACCCACTCTCGCGACGCCGCTCTTGCTATCCTCTCGCGAAACGCGGCTACTGCGCGTAATCTGCGCGCAAATTTATGACACTTTGTCACGCGGCGCAAACTTGCCGCTCGCCCGCGTTCATTCCTGCCTTATTGAAAA